TGTATAACGTTCAGTGGTGCCACTCTGGAGAAGCAGTGGCAAAGGGCCCAGGAATGGGGTGGGGGAGCCAGAGAGTAGACAGCCTGCAGAGGTCTATCCTCCAGGCCCCTCCAGCAGGGGGCCAGGCACCAGGCAGAGTCAGGCCTAGCAGGCTGGTTGTGTTGCTTTCCCCGAGGGTTTTAGGCCCTGTGCTGGCACTCCCTCGTGTGTGCCCTGGGTTAGGAGAGGGGTGAGCATGGAGGCGTGGGTCAGAAACGGCAGAGGCTCTTCTCAGTGGTTCCTGCCGTGGGTATTCTTGCTCAATCACTGGCCCCGTCAACATCCCTCAGTGGGCTCAGCTCTGTGCCCGTTTCATCCCTTGGCGAGGTGTGCCGCCCTCTTTTCTTCCTGCTCCTCTTTGGGTCTCCTCTCCTCACTTCCACTCGGAGGGGAGGGGGCCTCTTGTGGGCCTCCTGGTGGGGGGCCCTCTCCTCCCGCTGGGCTCAGAGCCCCCCCCCGCCCAGGTGCCAGTGTGGCTTGGGACGTTGTCCCTCCTCTGAGCCTGTGGCCGTGCTGCTCTGGTGTGGGAATGGTGCATGTCCTGCCCTGGCCCGCTGGTTACTAGGTTCTCTGGCAGGAATTGTGTCTTTTGCATCTTCCTTATCTCCTGAGTTAGGCAAGTAGGAGATGTGTGATCAGTATTTTTGGTACCTTTCAATTAACTGAGAAACAATTATTTTTATCTAGAATTATTAGCTGTTGAAGCCAGTGGCAATAGCAAAGACCTCTTTGGGAGGGAGTAAGTCCTGCTAATCCTGGGTCTGTCTTGTACATCTCCTGCTGGTCTTTCCTCCTCACCTCGTGGAGGCTGCAGCAGGACCATGTCTGTCGCTCTTACAGATTGATTCCAACCCTTTTAATGGAGAGCTTTCAGATCTCTCAGCTTTGCAGTGTTTGAAATTCTTCTGTTAAAGGTCCTTGAAGGCCTTTGTGTGGTAGGTCAGTTTATGGAGTCTGACAGCCTTCCATGAGGTGGGCGGTGTGGGGGGGGGCCCCAAGGGCCACACCAAGAGTGGTCACCCTCGAGAGAAGAGAGGAGATGTCTTGCTTCTTCTGAGGGCTGGAGGTGCCTCTGGTCTGGCTGGCTTGTCTCCTTTGTAGGGTGGACGTCTGCCTGGCCAGGGCCTGGTCTTGGAGTGCAGCCTGGGTGGGCACTGCCCTCAGGACACATCTGCTTCTATATTTCTCAGTGCTTCTCTGACCAGTTTCAGCTTACTGTTATTTTGGGGGGGGGGGGGGCTGGCAGGCTTCCTTCACATTCCCCTCTTTTATCTTTGTAAGCTGGCAGATGCAGTGGGTTCCAGCCGGTGGTGGAGGAGGGTTATTTTCCTCCAAACTATGGAGTGTGTGTTAGAATTCCTCTGTAAGGGGTCTTTCGGTGTTACATAAAGATGCAGAGCCATTGAGACTTTGCTGCCTTCCACGAAAGGTGTGGCCCTGGGTGGGCTTGCTGTGGCGCAGCTGAGGACCATGGATGAGGACCATCCTCTAAATGCTGTCTGTCCTGGAACTGGTTGTGTCAGTGCTTGATGGTGTTTACTTTTATCCCCATTTGTGTGGCACGGCTGTCATGAGGGGGCACGGTACTGCTCCTTAGCATTGCGACAGGAGTCAGGGGTGCAGAAAGGGGGGGCCCACTTTGCTTGAGCTCTATCCTGACTGCGTGTTGGTGTGTTTATGATGTCATGTTTTTCTGGGGCACTGGGGACGGGACCACACATTGAAGGAGTGTGCTCACCAGCTCATAGGAGAATTCACAGGTGCTGGTGGGGGGCACCCCTGAGCGAGCATGGTGTGGGGGACCTTTTTCCCAGGTCCTGGGTGGAGCTGCTTTTCTTGGCCTTGACTTGTGGTGCTTCAGGGAGCCTTAGACCAGTGTCTCCTGCTCGGCAGCAGGGCAGACTGGCTCCTGAGCAGCTGACTGCCTGTGATTCACAGGCTCAGAGAACATGCCCCGGGGAGGGGAAACTGGTTTACACATTGCAGAAAAGCAGGCTTGGGTGGGTAGCAATCGAAAGGTGTGGTAGTTTAGAATGATTACTAAGAAACTCTTTTTGTTTGCACCTTGTGCTGTGCTGGTTTCTAGAACAAGAGAAACAGACCTGACGGTCATTTCTCCTGGGCTGCATGGTGGTGTTCTTTCTGATCTCGAAGAGGCGTAATTGCTTATGAAAGTGGGTGCTTTCACAGGCGTGGGCCGTTGGTTCATTTTTTAATGCTTCCGTGAAAAGATCGCACCTCCCATTTCATGGCCTGGCTGATGAATACTTAAGGCCTTCAGAAGAGGGGCGCCTGGGTGGCTCAGTCGGTTAAACGTCTGCCTTCAGCTCAGGTCATGATCCCGGGATCCTGGGATCGAGCCCCGCATCGGGCTCCCTGCTCAGCGGGGAGTCTGCTTCTCCCTCTCCCTCTGCCTGCCGTTCTGCCTGCTTGTGCTCGCTCTCTCTGTGTCAAATAAATAAATAAAATCTTAAAAAAAAAAAAAGACCTTCAGAAGACGAGAGCATTTTTACCTGCTCCACCGCCTGTGTGTGCCTGCATGGCCACATGCTCTCCCGAGTGAATGGCAGTGAAGGTGCCCCATTTTAATGTGTAAAGCAGCCTGGGGAGGGCGCCTCGGTGGCTGTGAGTGTCTGCCTTCGGCTCAGGTCATGATCCCGGGGTCCTGGGATCGAGGTTGGGTTCCCTGCTCCGCGGGGAGTCTGCTTCTCCTCCCTCTGCCCCTCCCCCCACTCATGCTCTCTCGCGCTCACTCTCTCCCAAATAAATAAAATCTTTGGAAAAAAATCGAATCAATAAATAAAATCTAAAAAAAAAAAAAGACTAACAAAAACAAAGCCCTTTTCTTCATTGATTTTGTTTTTGTTCTTTCCTTTTCATCCCTTTGCCTTCCTGAGTCTGTTCACAGGGGGTTGGGACTTTGTGATCCTAGTCTTCATGTGTACAGAGCGCTTGGGTTATCCTGTGGGGCTCAAGGTTGGGAAGAGCAGAGGGGTAGAACTCCTCTCGTGCCCATAAAGGATGTGTTATTGTTACTGCTTCCCGTTAGTCCAGGCAGCGGCAGCGGCTGTGGCTGGGCCTCTGTGCTGGCCCCCTTCTGTGTGGGGTGGGGCCATAAGGGGCGGAGCCAGGCATCTGCAGGCAGGTGCCCGTCACCGTTCGCCCGTGCCCAGTGGTGGGGCCATGTTAGCGCCAGCGTTCATCACTTTTGTTCCGTTCTCTTACTGAGGCTTTGTAAGGAATTTGGCAAATAAAGAATGTTCACATGAGAGATCACTTCTGGCATGTCATAATATTTTAAATTCTTAATAATTTACTTGGTGAATGAACCCAAAAAACACTTTTTTTTTTTTTTGAAGATTTTATTTATTTGAGAGAGAGAGAGAGCACAAGCAGGGAAGAGGTCAGAGGGAGAGGGAGAAGCAGGGAGCCTAACTCGAGGCTTGATCCCAGGACTCTGGGATCATGACTTAGTCGAAAGCAGATGCTTAACTAACTGAGCCTCTAACGGAGCCACTCAAGCATCCCTCAAAGAACACTTGAACCAACCGCCAAGTGCTGTCAGCTCTGTTCTGGCAGCTCACAGTCCTTCCCTTCTTCCCCACAGACTTTCTGTACTGGTGAGTTCTCTTTATGTCCCTGCCACATGTCCTCATCCTGCTGTCAGGGTGGTGTTTGCCGTCCAGGCTTAGACAGTAGCATCCAGACCTATAGGGTGATTTCCTAAGTCGGGAGTTCTCCTAAGTCGGGAACAACCCACCCCAAAGCCTGTGGCTTAAAACTGCAGCTATTGTGAGGATTCTGTCGGTTCTGATAGTCTGGGCATGGGGTAGCTTGTCTGTCCCTTGAGGCCAGGTGGTTTGGGGAGTGCTCCATGGCTGGGAAGCCCACACAATGGGGGCAGCTTGAAGGGCTGAGCAACTCCTTGACTGTCAGGACCTTGTGTCAGGGGGACGGGAGTCTAGCGCACATGGGCTCACGTACCTTCATATCTAAAACAGAAATAGTTCTCACTTTGCTGGTTAAATATTGTTTCTGAAGGAGAGGAAATTCTTGTAAGAAATTCTTAGAAGTGCTCAGTGCTAGGATTCTTTGTTTAAGGGGCTTGGATGCTTGTGTGAATTACCCCATTTTTCTTCCAGACCTAAAAGTGGAGGGCAAAATTCCAGGTTGAGCATTCTGGAGCTTGTGAGGTCTGTGAGTTTGGACGTAGTCCCTGGTTATGGGACAGGGGTGGGAGACACCTCGCCAGGGCCCCACAGGATGAACAAATGTGTGTGAGAAGCACGGGGAGCCCTTTCTCACTTGTTGACTGAGCATGAATGACAATCCAAGAGCGCATGCTTGGGCTCCTGACCCTCCATGAGAGCTGCTTGGGCCTGTAACTTCTACCCTTTCACACCTTTTCTTATACACAGGTCATTAGAGAAAACCCAGTGAGATTTTTCACTCTCCTTCTTAGGGCTAATGCCCTTAATGGCAGCTTGGGTACATGTCAGTGGTGATGTCTTGCCCTCCCTAAGTGGACTGGCCTTATGGTTGCATTCCTGGTTCACAAAGTCCTTTAGGGACATGGCCTCTCCTTTTCTTTTTTTTTAAAAAAGATTTTATTTATTTATTGGAGAGAGAGAGAGTGAGAGAGAGAGCGCAAGAGGGGGTAGGGTTAGAGGGTAGAGGGAGAAGCACACTCCCTGCCGAGCAGGGAGCCCGATGTGGGACTCGATCCCGGGACTCCAGGATCATGACCTGAGCCGAAGGCAGTCGCTTAACCAACTGAGCCACCCAGGCACCCCTGGCCTCTCCTTTTCTAATTACTTTATCATGTACAGAAACTATTCATTATTTTGTGGTATTTAGAATAAAAATTATGGAAGGTGCTGTGAACTGTTTTGATAATTTCTGTTCTAAATTTGTAAACATGTTTGTAACATTTAACAGTTTTTGTTTTTTTTTTTTTTTAGGCACAAATATTTAAGCATGGAAAACGTGAGGACTGTTTACCCTATGGTAAGATTTATTTGTAAGAGGGTGTGTTTGCGATGTGAGTTTGCCTGTATAAGATCAAGTGTGTCTCCTTCACATTTTATTCATAGTTAACAAGAGTCTGTAAGTTGCTGTATTTGGACACTATCATAGTTCTTCGGTTTTTTGTTTGTTTTGTGTGTGCATGTGTGCTTTAATCTGGTTTTTCAGGCCTGGTATGGGGAGGAGGTCTGGGTTCTTGGTGCCCTGTCTGTCAAGTTTTGATTCTGGGGGACTTGGTGATGTGGACATACCCTGAGGTCTCTGGCTCACCTGTTGGGCTCCCAGTCACAACTGCATTGTTCCTGGGGCCATGGTCATGCCTTTTGACCTTTTGCCTCATTCTCTTAATTTTATTTTTTAAATTTTTATTTATTTTTTAAAGATTTTATTTATTTATTTGACAGAGAGAGACACAGCGAGAGAGGGAACACAAGCAGGGGGAGTGGGAGAGGGAGAAGCAGGCTTCCCGCGGAGCAGGGAGCCCGACTCGGGGCTTGATCCCAGGACCCTGGGATCATGACCTGGGCCGAAGGCAGACGCTTAACGACTGAGCCACCCAGACGCCCCCTCATTCTCTTAATTTTAGACAGAACCTCATTCTTGCTGCAGAGAAGTTTACTACCCGGACCAAGAGAAATTTCTTGGAGTTACATATTTTAGAAGATGTGTGAATAAATTTTGAATAGTAGAGGCTATTTTTTTAAAGAAATTTTCATTATGGAAAATTTCAAACATGTATAAAGGAAGAGAGAGCGGTGTAGCAAACTCCCACATTTCTGTCACAGGCTTCACACTTTTAATTCATGGGCGTCTTGTCCTACTCAGCATGCCCAGACACCCTGTCGTCTTACCTTTTTAGTGTGTATCCCCAAAAGATAGGTAGGATGGTTTTGGAAACACGCGTTGATCTTACTGTCACAGCTGAAAACACGAGCATCGTTGCTCAGCATCTTCACATATCCTCCTCCTCAGTGGACTTGGACACACAGACGCTGGGTCTGTGTTATGTTATTGTCACTCATACCAGATCAGTCACTGCGTGTTGTTTGGGTCTTTGGGGAAATTATTCAGATGCTGTGACAACTTGTCTTGAAATCTTGCCCTCCTTGTCTTTCATATGAAATGCCATCCTGTGTGCTCTCCTGGCCCTCGCTTCCCCATGATGCCACCTTGTCCCCCCACCAACAGCCTTGGCAGCAAAGGGGACTGGCCACCCATTTCCCTGTTTGTGGAGAGCCTTCCCCATTGGGCCGGGCCCATCCTGTTTGCAGTTTCTTGTAATCCGTGGCGTCTTCTTTATCCACCATGTTTCCATAAGCTCTTCCTTGCTTATTGTGCCTTCTCTCTCTCTCGGGGGCTCCTTTTTTTTTTTTTTTTTTGCCAACCTGCACATTTGTGGCTTCACATTGAGAAAGTTGAGCAGGTTCAACTCTCCTACACTTGGTAAATGACGTGGGATGAGGGGTTCTTTTTGGGGTCCATTGTGCATTTGGACCATCACACTGCATCTGGGGGACCTGTAGAGTCATCTGTACTTTTAATGTTGTGGGTGCCAAACAGAGAGTGCAGTTTGGCAGATCACAGAAGATCCTTCCCACCAATCTGAGCCGAATATGCTGTTGTTTGCAGCTTCCACCGTTCTCGAGTGCCTAGAGGGCTGCAGGCTCCCCGACAGCAACCAGACCCTGCTCCGCAAACTTGGGGTGAAGCTCGTGCAGCGGCTGGGACTGACGTTCCTGAAGCCCAGGGTAGCGAAGTGGAGGTCAGTAGACCAGGCCGTGATGTGCACGGCCTGCGCGTCTGTTGGGGAGGCTGGTGTGGTGATCACCTGGGTTGAGGTGGCCATGGCAGAGAACACTGTTATCTTCTGCTTCCACTTCATTTCCTTAGTCTCAACAGTGTTTCTGATTTTGAGAGGAGAAGTCTTCCTTTTTTTTTCTGTCCCTACATCTTACAATTAGGATAATTGAAGCTGGAGTGGTGACAAGGGAAGTTTGGTTTTGCATTTTATGTGACATTATTCAGGTGCAATATGCCTTTACCAATTTAGGCTCACTGTAGGGAAAGCTCCATTAACAATAAAGCTGAATACAAGCTTCTTTTAGAGAAAGCAAGCTCTCCTTCAGGTTGATTCAGAAAGCCAAGCTGTTTTTGCCTGTGGATGGAAACTGTCTTATTTATTTATTTGTTTGTTTGTTTGTTTGTTTGTTTGACAGAGACACAGTGAGAGCAGGATCACAAGCAGGGGGAGAGGGAGAGGGAGAAACAGGCTCCCCGCGGAGCAGGGAGCCCGATGCGGGGCTCGATCCCAGGACCCTGGGATCATGACCTGAGCCGAAGGCAGACGCTTAACGACTGAGCCACCCAGGCGCCCCGAAACTGTCTTAACTAACGGTCTGACGTTAATTAACAGATTGCTTTTGAATTAGTGGCTCCCACAGAAACAGACTTTTCTGCTGTGCTTGGAGTACTGTGTTCTTAACAGTCTTCGGGTTTTTTGTTTTGTTTTGTTTTTAGTTTTTGTATTTTTGTGAGGAACAAGAACCACGTTTTGTATTTGTTCACTTCTCGTGTTTGAAGTATTCCTCGATGGCATCCCTGGCCTGACTCTTTGCCATAGTCTTTCAGCACCACGCAACTGCAACCAACTACTTTATGGGGTTTTCTTCTCTGTTGGTTTTATAGAGGCCCATCCCTTCCCCTCGTTTCTTGTCGTCAACCTCAATTAGGTTGACTTGGTGCTGAGCACAAACCACCTCCATCAGCTTGACACGCACAGGCTCATCACAGTTGTTGCAAACGCACAGAGATGGGTTTGGCACTTGTCTAAGGCTTTGGCAGCTTCGTGAATCCCACGTGCTAGGCCATCGTGGATGAGGGTGGTCTTCAGCCCCTCCTGTAAAGCAGTATTAATGTCCATTACACCTCCAGCAGCAGGGCCTTCCTTGGCCACGGCAGGGGGTTATGGGTGGAGCCAAATCTTGAATGTGTCCAAGCCTCCGCCTCCGTGTGACTCAGTGGTGGCAGGGAAAGAGCTAAGAGTCTTTAGTTTTTTGTTTTTTTTTAAAAGATTTTATTTATTTATTTGAGACAGAGAGAATGAGAGACAGAGAGCATGAGAGGGAGGAGGGTCAGAGGGAGAAGCAGACTCCCCGCCGAGCAGGGAGCCCGATGCGGGACTTGATCCCGGGACTCCAGGATCATGGCCTGAGCCGAAGGCAGTCGCTTAACCAACTGAGCCACCCAGGTGCCCAAGAGTCTTTAGTTTTATTTCCAGTATTGATATTGGTGGTTTGGGAGGAGTTGTTTGGTAAAGTTCAGCTCATCCTTTGTCTCAAATTCCAGCAAATTCCAGAGAAGTATGTTATGTTGTAGTGATGTTTTGCTCATATTAGCTTTTGGGTCATACAGCGCATTGTGTAAGAAGTTGTTTATGAGACTAAATGTTAGTGGTTAGTTTCCAAAATGCCATGGAAAATTAATGTTCAGGAGCGCCTGGGTGGCTCAGATGGTTAAGCGTCTGCCTTCGGCTCAGGTCATGATCCCAGGGTCCTGGGATTGAGTGCCGCATCGGGCTCCTTGCTCAGCAGGGAATCTGCTTCTCCCTCTGCCCACCGCTCCCCCTGCTTGTGTGCGCTCTGTCTCTCTCTCTTTCTCCCTCTCTCTCTGACAAATAAATAAATAAAATCTTAAAAAAAAATTAATTTTCAGTACTGTATTAGGGTTCTCCAGGGACACAGAACCGATAGGGTGAGAGGATGTGTGTGTGCACAGACACTTCTAAAGACTGGCTCATGTGATTGTGGAGGCTGGCAAGTATCGACATCTGCAGGGTGAGTAAGAAAGCTGGAGACCCAGGGGAGCTGATGGTGGCATTTGAGTCTAAAGGCAAGAAGAATTCCTTCTTAACCCCAGGGGAGAGTTGGCTTCTTTGCTCTGTTCTGGTCTTCAACTGATTGGATGAGGCCCACCCACACTGGGGAGGGCAGTCTGGTTTATTCAGTCTACCAGTTTAAATGTTCATCTCATCCAAAAACACGCAGAGGCACACACAGAATAAAGTTTGACTGAATATCTGGGTACTCTGTAGCTCAGTCGAGTTGACACATAAAATCAGTCATCACAGGGACGGTAAACCTTTATGTGTGAAGGGGAATAGCTGAGCACTATAATTGCTTTGTTCAGTTTGCATTTCCACGTACATTTATTTATTTATTAAAAAAAATTTTTTTTTTTTTAAGATTTTATTTATTTGCGAGAGAGAGAATGAGAGACAGAGAGCATGAGAGGGAGGAGGGTCAGAGGGAGAAGCAGACTTCCTGCTGAGCAGGGAGCCTGGTGCGGGACTCGATCCCGGGACTCCAGGATCATGACCTGAGCCGAAGGCAGTTGCTTAACCAACTGAGCCACCCAGGCCCCCTCCACGTACATTTAATGGGAGTCTACCCTCTTGCTATTTTTTCTGTCTCTTCTGTCTTCATTTTGGGTTTTTTTTTTTTTTTTTTTCATTTTATCTCCTGTTATATTGTTTTATTTTCAGTGTCATTCTTTTGTTGGCTATCTTCCCTTGAGGAGTAAGCCCATCTGGCAGGCTGGTAACTCGCTGGGGCTGCTCCCTCTTCCTGAGGCCTTGTTAGGATGGTCTTGGTTCCGTTCCTTTTCCCTGGAGCATAGCCCTTGCTCCTACAGCACGCTCCTCACTTCTAGTGCATGGCTGTTTGGTCTCCCTTGCTGGGCCCACATCCTGGTGACTCCCCAGCATTACATGACCTCTGGACTCAGCTCAGCTCTCAGCCTCCTAGCTGCTCTCACATGGTGCTTCTGGGTCTTACCCTGTACTTGCACATCTTGGGGGTCGTCCAAGGATCCAACGAGACGTCTATGCACAATTACGGTTTTCCTTCTTAGCAGCTACTTTTTCTCAACGTCTGTCCCCAAATACCTGCCATCTCTGTAGTTGGGGTTTTTCTTTCATCTACCAGGCAAGACTGCTGCTGTCTGCTTGGGCTCTCTTTTCCTATGCTGCGGTTTAGAAAGTACCTTTGGGGAGGAGAGGTGTGAAGGTGGGGTGCTTCTGGGCACCTCCTGCTGTGAGGAATGGTATCCCGGTCTTGTTATCTCACGTGTGCAAATGGCTGGTTTATGACTTTCGTCCAGCTTTTGTAATTGATGGCAGAAGGGTAAATCCGACGGCAGCCTAGAATCTGTCATCTTTTTTTTTTTTTTAAGATTTTATTTATTTATTTATTTGAGACAGAGAGAATGAGAGACAGAGAGCATGAGAGGGAGGAGGGTCAGAGGGAGAAGCAGACTCCCTGCTGAGCAGGGAGCCTGATGCGGGACTCGATCCCGGGACTCCAGGATCATGACCTGAGCCGAAGGCAGTCGCTTAACCAACTGAGCCACTCAGGCGCCCTAGAATCTGTCATCTTTGTAGTTTCTGATTACTGAGTGTTAGGGTGAGTACTTTTTCTATGAAGTAATCAACGTGTGTACTGATTTGAGGAAAACAGGAGCAAGGACGGTAGCCATTGTGAGGCTCTGTGCTGGGCAGTTTACGATCTTGAGGACAATCCTGTGGTGGCTGGTGATGCTCTCCCTATATTAGTTACCTGCTGCTCCTCCCGTTCTGACACCAGCTCTGAAGTGTGGTTTTTTTCCCCACACCAGCCAGTTCCTGGACACCAGGTGGCTGTCTCACAATTCTGACACAGTCTACCCGGAGATAGTGTCTGAGTCCTCATGATCCCTCAGATTAAGGGCTCAGTCCCACAAGACTATCTCCCCCCGCCCCATTACTCAGATGCCAGTAGCAGGTCCAGGTTGTCACCTGTGCCTTGACTGACCAGTTATAAATTGGGATCCCCACATCTCCCTCTTCAGGCTCAATTAACATGCTAGAGCAACTCACAGAACTATGAGAAACATTTTGTGTACTAGATCACCAGTTTATTATAAAAGGATACAGCTCAGAAACAGCCAGATGGAAGAGAAGCCCAGGGCGAGGTGTGGGGGGGAAGGGCTGTGTCCTGTCCACATGCACCGCTCTCTCTGGGTCGGGTCTCCACGTGCTAACCCCCCAGGAGCTCTCCAAACCCTCTCCTGGATTTTTATGGAGGCTTCATTACAGAGGCATGATTGATTAAATCATTGGCCATTGGTGATTCATTAAACCTCTAGCCCCTGTTCCCTCCTCGGAGGTTAGGGGGTGAGATTGAAAATTCCAACCCTCCAGTCACATGGTTGGTTTCCATGGTGACCAGTCCCCATCCTTAGGTGACCTAGGGGCTTTCCAGAAGTCACTTCTTTAGCATAACTGAAGACACCTTAATCCTGAAATGGACAAGGACCCAATACATATTTCGTATTGTAAATGACAACATCACAGTTATGTAACAGAGTACCCCCAAATTTAGCAGCTTAAAATGATGCATTTTTAATGTCCTCATTTCTGTGGATTGGGAATCTGGGTGTAACTTCGCTGGGTCCTGTGGTCGGGGTCTAAGGCTTCACGAAGGTGTTGGCTAGCGCTGCTGCCATCTCAGGCCTCACTCGTGGCCGGGGGCACCCAAGCACGCTCAGGTCAGGTCGGTAGGACTCCATTCCTTGTGGGCTGTCTTCTGGGGGCCTCCCAAAGTTCTTGCTGCGGGGCTTTCCATAGTGTAGTGCACGGTGTTGGGTGGTTTCTGTCCGAGTGAGAAGGTGGCAGGACAGAAGCCACAGTCTTCCTGAGCCTTCTTGGGAGGGACATCCCCTGGCTGCTGTGGCCTCCTACTCAGAAGGAGTCACTGGGTCTGGGCTGCACCAAGGGGAGAGGATTGCTTGAGCATCAGAAGGTGGGCCGCCTGGGGCTGCCTGCCACCGCCCTTGTTTTACAGAGTTGGAAACTGGTCCAGGGAGTTAATGAGCTGTTGAGCGCCACAGTTAGCAGTGCCCGGGCTGGTGTTCAGGTTTGTGCTCTGTCTGTGAAGCTCCAGTTGTCTGTGTTTGGGAGCCAGCCTCAGGCTGCAGCCCCAGATGCACTCTGTACCTTGACTCGGGCACCTTCTGTGCTCCAGGCAGTGTCCTGATCCAGGGCCACCCGCCAATCTGGCCCATGCGTGCTTGCCTCAGTGCGGCGCACTGGGGCCCACCTTCCAGGAGGAAAGGGCTTTGTGTACATCCTTGCGTCTGTCCGTCACAAGCCTCTGGGTAGGGCCTCCTCTGACAGATGAGGAAACTCTGGCGGCCGGAGGCTCAGGAGCTGTGCAGGGTCAGATGCCGGAGCCAGCCCATGCCAGTGTCCTCACGGCCCACGGATGATGCCTGTGGCCTCAGCTCGGTCGGGGGAGGGCTGTGGCTGCTGGGGCTTGAGAGGGAGGCTCTGTCGAAGAGTTGAAGCGTTGAAGAGTCCAGGGTGGTGAAGGGCCTGGAGGCAGTAGAGATGGGAGGCAGAGCGCCTTGTAAGTAAGGCTGACACCCACGGGACCCATGAGTGCCCTCCCTGCTGCTTCTGTCAGGCACACTCCTGCAGTCCTGCCCCGTCCCCCGCCTTCTTTCTGCCTGACACTGCACAGCACTCGAGGGTTTCTGAGTAGCGCAGAACCTCTGTTCTGTGGCTCAGATTGGCATTATCTTTTCTTGGCAGCCCTTGTGGACGCCAGCTACACTCCATGTTCTTTCCATCCCGTCTCTGTAAAACACATGGAATTTTCACAGGAACCCTTTCAGATCCTAAGGGACACCAAAGTATTGATTTCAGTCGTCAAGATAATTTCTCTTAGAGGCTCCAGCGGGCGTGGCAGCAGGTCTGAGGTACTGTCTCTGTGTGCAGGTATCAGCGTGGCTGCCGCTCGTTGGCTGCTAACCTGCAGCGCTGCGCCCAGAGTCAGCAAGAGTTGATGGCGCACGTGGAGACTCCCGACAGCGACGGAGACTATGACATCCCCGAGGAGGTGGAGAGCGTGATAGGTGGGTAGGGTCCCTGCAGCCTCCTGGTGAGCCTGCGGTGGGCCTGCTGCCCTCTGGTCCTGGGGGCGCTGGTGAGGCTCCTCTGAGGTGCATGCCTTCCTCCCCTCTTCATGCTGGCATCATGTGGCCTTCCGTGACCTTGCCCACCCTCACCTTTCACGGAGCTTGTGGCTGCTGGCCTTCGGTCCTGATGCCCACGACCATTTGGGCCCTGGACCCTGTCATTCAGTTTACTGTTTGCTTCCCATGTATGAGCCCTCATATTTCCACCTCAGTATACTGCCCTCAGCCCTCCACCATACCTCACCTGGGTGCATCCGGCCCATGGCCTCAGGCCTTCTCCTGGAGAGATGGAGTGGTGGCTTTGCTGGCCCTCTGCTGCACACACCTGCAGTGTCCCTCCCGCTGCAAACCTGAAGAGCTCTGGGCCCTGCCCTACGCTTACCCGAGGGAGTGTCTCCTGCTCAGAGAGCGGGGCAGAGCCCCACTGCAGCGGCCTCACACACCCTGCCAGCCTCCAGCCACCCCTCCTCGTCCGGTTCCCCCTGCCCCCACTGTAGGGTCTCCCACTGTCATTTAGCTCCAGTCTCCTAGTCCATGAGGCACAGCATTGCACCTCCTCTGGTGCTTTCTCACTGTTTCTCATGTCCATTCTCTCCCCTTCACATTGTGCTTCTTCACCTACTCCCCCCACTCCTGGGGTCCTACACTGCCCCAGTCACAGTGAACTTGACTCCTTCACAGGCTCCTGTCCTTCCTCCATGTTGGGCCTTCCCAGGCTGCCTGGGTGCCCTTGGTCAAGGTTTCCATTGACTGGGACTTGTCAGGCCCTTATCGAGAGGCCTCTGACATCTTCCCACTTCCTTTGGGCCCCTGTGTGGCTCTTCCTAGAGTCTGGCCTATGCCTGAGACCCCAGTAAGAGCCCCTTTTCTGCACCCTCTTGCAGACATTGATCTCTGGGTAGGTCTACTTTTTAGCAACAATGGCAAGAGTTGGCTTTAAATGATTATTTAAAAACAAAGAAAAGGAAATGTTTTTTCCTTAGAATTAATATTCTTCGTGTGATTTCCTTCACGGTGCTCATGAGGGACACCTTCAGTCTGGGAAGTGAAGAACTTAACCTAGAACCAGGGTGAGTGCACAGAGCTCATGGTCCTGGCCTTCTTGTGTTGTTGCAGAGCGGCTGCTGGTCGGGCTGAAGGACCAGGACACGATTGTGCGGTGGTCTGCTGCCAAAGGGTAGGTGCCTTCTGTCCCACTGGGCGAGCTGGGCCCGGGGCTGATGGCTTGTCAGTGAAACACCGCATGGTCTGCTGAGCACTTTCTGTCATTTAGCACTTCACGTGCAATTGAGAGCTGCGAATAGCTTAGAGGCTTTTAGAAGGCAGAATGGTTTTTCTAATATACGTTTATTGCTTTATGTTCTGATTTTAAAGATCATAACTGGGGAATGAGGCTCCTTCATTTTCTAGCCTTTCTGGCTAGAGTGGGCAGAATTATGAGCAAGCCCAATTTGCCCTTTTTTTTTTTTTCCTTCCAAATGTTCCTTTTCTTGCTCTTCCATGTCCTCATCAGTGCAGCCCCTACCCCCTGCCCTGCACAGGCAGGCACAGCTCCCACGTAGGGAGCAGGTGCTAACACAGCCTTATCTAATCCCAGAGCCCCTGAGAAGGGAAGTGCTGTTCGTCCTCTGTTGTGCCTCATGGAGAAGGTGTTTGGCAGCAGGCAACCTCTGAACCAGAGTCCCGTGTGGTTGGAGTGGGATGTGCCGGGAGGGATGCTGATCCAGTCAGGAGGTGTCTAGTGTGGATGCGGGGCAGCCCGCCAGGTGGGGGGTGGTCCCGAGGGGTCAGGCCAAGGGTGGTGGCCTGGTGCTGGGTGCCATTGACCATCAGCAGCAGGCTGCTGCCTTGTGGGCACCCTCCCCCCCGGTCTCCCTCCCCTCAGGAGATGCCTGTGTCGGTCTGTGTCTGTCGCTAGGATGAGGCTCCCTAACAGGCGTTGTGTAGAGCAGAGTGTGTGTGAGGCTCACTCTGGGTCTGCCTCTCTTTCCCATTCTCTGGAGGGAGGGAAATGGCTGGGGACAGTTCCTCGTTGATTGTGCCCCTCACAGCGGGCTGGTGATGCTGACGGAGTGCCGCCTCTCTTTTTCAGAATTGGTAGGATGGCTGCAAGGCTTCCCAAAGAGCTGGCGGATGACGTGGTTGGGTCTGTGTTGGATTGTTTCAGGTATGTGAGAAGATCAAAAGGAGACATGTTTCTGGTTAAAAGCAGTGGCTGTTCTTTCCCTCTATCCTTTTATATTTTCTTTCAGCTGAGCTATTTGTCAGAGCCCCCAAAGCCTTTTTGTTTTCCTTTTGAAGTTAAATTTGAGAACTCTAGTTATTTCTGTTATATTTCTTTTATCAGCTTAAATCCTATTACATTTAAAAACCTCTTTAAGAAGAAAAAAGTGGAGGGGCGCCTGGGTGGCTCAGTCGGTTAAGCGACTGCCTTCAGCTCAGGTCATGATCCTGGAGTCCCGGGATCGAGTCCCGCATTGGGCTCCCTGCTCAGCGGGGAGTCTGCTTCTCCCTCTGATCCTCTTCCTTCTCATGCTCTCTGTCTCTCATTCTTTCTCTCTCAAATAAATAAATAAAAATTAAAAAAAAGAAAAAAAAAAAGTGGTTTTGAACATGGACATACATCAGTCTCGAAGAAACCTGGGGTCACCGGGGTGACGTCTGAGAGAACGTCTGTGGTGACGCGTGTTCTGGATCTGCCTCGTGGTGGCTGCCAGCACACGTGCTGTTGGCCTTACAGAGAGGCTGAATTCTACTTTCTTTCTTTTTTAATTCTACATTTTATTTAATTTTATCAGATTTAAATTCAAACAGCTGTGTGTGGTGGGGCGCCTGGGTGGCTCAGTTGGTTAAGTATCTGGCTCTTGGTTTTGGCTCAGGTCATGATCTCCGCTGGGGTTGTGAGGTTGAGCCCCGAGTCAGGCTCTGTGCTGGGCTTGGAGCCTGCTTGGGACTCTCTCTCTTCCCCTGCTCCTCCCCCCACTCCCCCCCTTAAAAAAACAAAGACGAGAGTCACACGTGGTAATGGTTGTGTTGCATCTGGCTTAGCCTTTCAGAGACGTCTGGGTGGCCCTTGGCTGGCTCATGGTGCAGGCGTGGGCAGGGATGTGCAAGCCGTGGGTCCTTGGGGTCGGAGCCTGGGTCCTGCAGGCCAGGGGCAGGGCAGAGACCCGGGCAGCATAGTTGTGCTCTCGGGTGCACTCTTGGGTGCACTCTCGGGTGCAAAGCATGTTTGGTGTGGTTAGTCCCAGAGGCCTCTTAACTTTGCCTGTGGAAAGCTCTCCCTGGGTTTTGGAAGCAGGTGCTTCTAAGAAGGGGTGTTGTTGGTTGGCCCCCAGTTGCTTTTCTTCCTGGGCTGCCAGTGCGTGCATGTAGGGAGAGGAGCTGCCTGCACTTCTGGGGTGCTCAGTCATGTACGTCAGTTGCCGAGGCTTCTCTGGGAGCACCACAGCACGTGTGCTTCCTCTGGAGCAGGCTTTCTCTGGCACTTTGTCTCCAGCCTGCTCAGCGACAGTTGGAGGAGTTCAGGGAGCAGGATGTCAGAGTGATGCTGCTTGTGTGGGCTGTGTTTCTTCAGTGGAAACATTTCACGGTCGTCTGCCAGGCTCCCGCTGTGACTCTGGAACGCCCGCGTTGGGGAAAGAAAGTGCTCCCTGTCCACGTGGTGATTCTGCTGGCTTGTGTTAGGGTATCCTCTTGGACTTCTTTTCTGGTGGCGTGGTGATGGGTGTGCTGATGATGCTGGATCCCGCTGGTCCTGAGCACAGAGGTGTGAGTCCCTGGGCGGCAACCAGTGGCAGCTCTTGCGTGGCTGTGGTGGAGCATCCTGCTCTTGGGAGAGGGCAGCACTTTGGGTCAGGTCTTAGGAGGGTGGAAAGGGCCAACGTCCTGCACCCACAGCCTTTCCTCCCTGGTCCCTTTGCCCATGGCACGGCAGGTCAGCCTCAAGTCTTTTTTTCTATTTCCTTCCTGAGGGCATTTCTGCATGGGCCCTCTGGTGATTTAACGCTGTCTCTTTACCTAGCCTGCCCTCGGGCTCTTCCTTGCCCAGCCTCCTTCCTTCTCTTCACACCTGCCCTCTCTAGCCCCTTGTTGGCGGCGTCCCTGGTACCAGCTTTCCTGGTGGTGGCCGTTCCGGTGCTCCTGCGCCTCCCTCACTCCTCTGGCCACTGCACATCTGCCTGGCGACCTAGGGTTCTTGACCTCTGTGTCCTCATCAAACTCCTAGAACATGTTTTCTACTGGCCAGACATACGGCCCTTTGTCCTGGCCTGCACCTGTGGTCTACTTCACTCATCCTTGTTAGTTTAATCTGCAGGCACTTCTCTGCATCTGTCTTGTCATTTTAATGAACTCCTCTTAATTTTTGTATTTAGGTTGTGGAGGGTGGAAACTGTTTTACTGCTCTTGCTTCCCAGGGCTGACAGCCCAAGTGACAAGCAGGACGTTGAGGGAAAGGACCTGAGTGCAGAGGCAGCCTCTTCCTGGATGGGTATGAAGTACCTGATTGCAGAACCTGGCACAGAAAGGAGTCACCCCCACTCAGAATGTTTGAAGACCCTGAGAAGCAGCAGCCTGCTGGGTGGAGGGCGTGTGCGGTGGGGTGGGCGCGGCAGGACTGGCTGGTGGCCTGGTACAGCTGCTGCTATGATCTTGTCCCTTCTTTTGTGTTCTTCTGGGACAGTCTTTGCTGACAGGGTCAGCAGGAACATTACTTCCATTAACTGTGAGCACACCCCACTCCCAGGACTGCCCCTTCACTCCCTGCTCTGTTTCCAGGCCAGGTTATGTGGAGTGAAGCCACACATGTCCCCAGGGGGTTTTACAGTGAGCCCCACAGGACCAGTGTGAGCAGCATGGGCATCATCCCTCAGCTGCTGCTCCCTTCCCTATGTCCCACCCCCTGGATGTGTGGCTGTCCGTCAGTACCCGTGCCCACCCTCCCCCCCTTTAGAAAACAGTGCTGTAGCCCCTCGCTGGCCCCAGCAGCATTACCTCAGCATTACCCCAGAGATGGTGTGTGCTAGACCCAGCAGTCTGGTCCATGGCAGAAGCAGAGGGCCTGTGGGAGGAGGAGAGCAAGGCCCCGTTGGCCTGGCCAGGGTCCTTGTGTTTGCCATCTGAGCTCAGCCGCACAGGGGGTCTCCAGTTAGCAGCTGGACTGCAGCCCCAGGTCCCAGGTCCCAGGTCCCGGGTGTGCTGTGGGTGCTGTGACTTCTCAGAGTCTCTGTGATGTTGAGAAACCTTTGGGGGTACCCCCTTGGCCCCAGGGAGCAGCCCCCTGTCCACATCTGCTTGTGCATGTTGGGCCTTGGAGAGAGTGAGTAGGGCAGAAGTCTGGCTGCAAGCCAGGTGCTGTGTGGGGGAGGCACTGTTCCTGAGTACCCCCTGGAGTGGGCGGAGTAGCGGCCAGCAGGGTGATGGTCTTCCTTGTTCCCCCTCAGGCCACAGGCCTGACAGAAGGTCATGCCACCTTTCCATAGCTGTTGACAAGCAGCAGTGCACACATTTAGTTTGGAAATGGACATTGGTGTAACTGGTGATGGTTTTATTGATAACTGAGTCATCATAATGCTGGTCTTTTATAAGTTTCTTTAGAACGTTATCTAGTTTCATGAAAAGCATAAAGCATCTCTTACCAGTTAAAGTTCTGAAGTACACAAAGTGCAGTATTAAATTTTGATGTGGTCAAATAGCCTTTGGGACAGACATTTTAAGAAATACCTGGAACTTAAGAATTTATAATTAGAATTAGAAATTGGCACTGGTTGATGGGGAGGTCCACGGGGCAGCACCTGTGTCTGTCCCGGAGTCTGTGTCTGCAGGCCCTGGCACACGGGTGGGACTTGCTGAGTATCTGTTGAGTGAACAGACAAGCCTCACTCTCTCCTTTCTGAATGTTCTTGTGCTTTTTGCTAGCGAGGAATGCAATTCAGTTGGTTTTCTTAAACATTTCTTTGCTATCAGATTGATAAATTGTAGAATAGGAAAGAGCCCTATAACGTCTCTTGCTTTTTGGTGAAATGCATTTCCATGTTTATATTGGCAGCCAAATGTAGAAACTCTCAGGACAGGCTTTATCAATCTAAGAAACACTTCTCACTAATCATGATGCCAGGGGTGCACTTGTAAACAAGAGAGCTTCCAAACCACTTCAGGAAAAATTTTATTAGATATAAGATTTTACTATGACTTGATTAATCGGCATAATTGTTTATTAAAAGCCAGTGTTTCAAACAGTGCAAAACAGTTCTCTAAATGGTCTTTCATTCTAACTTTTTAATCTCTACTTTAAGCCAGGAAGGGAGGAAAGGAGGTCTCCCTGCCCCTTTCTGCTAATAGAGTCTAGCCTTAATTTGATAGAATCACTGTGCTGTGAGCCCCAGTTTTCGTGCCTTGAGTGGGTGAGTCCCTGGGTGTGTAGTTAGCACAGGCCTGCTGTGGCAGGAAGCCTGTGTAGAGCCTGATGTCTTGCTGACACACATCTGCGGACAGCATGTGGAGCCCACCTAGGACTTGTGCTTGTCATCGGAGGTCTGAAGAGAAATACTGAACACAGTGCTTACCTTCAATTAAATTGCGGTGTTTTATTTATTTAGCCAGCCGACAGTTGGAAAACTCACGAGTGGGTTTTAGGGAGGCTCCTGGGCACAGGATGTGGACCTGCAGTCTGTGTACACGGCGGGAGAAGCTGGAACGAGCACTGCAGTCTCAGGCTTTGTGTGTGTCTCAGTTTTCAGGAGACGGACAACGCCTGGCATGGTGGCTGTCTGGCGTTGGCGGAACTGGGCAGAAGAGGCCTGTTGCTCCCTTCCCGACTCAAGGATGGTAAGTACTGTGCACGTTTGCTCTGCATCGTCAGGACTGTTCGTAGCGTGTTGGGTGCTTCATTTCACCGTGTCTCCAGTGTGGCCTGCCGTGAGCGTGCACCAGGCCTTTGCCCTCACTGCCTAGCGCATTCGTGTGCAGGAGACAGCAAACTAGACCTGTGTCTTTCAGCCTTCCTTCTTGTATTCACGTTTCTGATTTTCTGACTGCTTCTCCCTGCTGTGAAATTTTAATACCACAGGTACACTTTGTGTTTGGATTTGGAGAGCCACGAACCATTGTAATGTCTGAGATTTTCTTGTCCCTCAGGACTGTTTTTCACCCCTGTGGGGGTGCTGTTGCCTGTTAAGAAGTTGTGCACTGCTGCTGTATTTATCACGTGGAGTGACATCACGGTCCCCTGGGAACAAGGCTCACACCAGCAAGGGGTGGGGGCGGAGGGCTGGAGGAAGCTTGGTAGCGGCCTGAGCAGGGGGACAGGGGCACAGTGCAGCAGATGTAGAGGGACCACTGGGCTCCAAGCCTGCATGTCCCAGCTGTTGGACCTAGACACGTGAAGGTGGAGCATGGGGTGTGGCCATGTGAAGCCCTGTCTGACTGGTGGGGATCAGCTCTGGTGTGGCTGGTGGTGCCTCCGTGGACAGAAGGGAAGGACACCTGTGAAGGATGGAGAAGACCCCTTCCTGGGCTGTGTCACCACACATGCTCTGCACCGTGGGAGTTGACTTCTATCCAGAGTAAAGACATCTGTGCAGAGATGGGTAGGGCCCCGCATCTTCCTCTCTAGCACCTGAGCTGTGGGGTGTCAGAAGTAATGGCTTGTACTTGGCATTGTGAAGCGTGAGGAGGGCTCCTAGACCTTCAAGATTCCGTTTAATCTTTCGGTTTATTTTTGTGGCAGCTTTACTGAGATAAAATTTATATACCATGAAGTTCACCCATTTAGAGTGTACAGTTCAGTGGTTTATGGTATATTTACCGAGCTATGCAACCATTATCATAATCTAATTTCAGAACTTTTTTTTTTTTTAAAGATTTTATTTATTTATTTGAGAGAGAGAGAATGAGAGAGAGCACATGAGAGGGGGGAGGGTCAGAGGCAGAAGCAGACCCCCCGCCGAGCAGGGAGCCCGATGCGGGACTCGATCCCGGGACTCCAGGGTCATGACCTCAGCCGAAGGCAGTCGCTTAACCGACTGAGCCACCCAGGCGCCCCCAGAACATTTTTATTGTCCCACAAAGAAACCCTGTGCTTAGGGGCAGTGACTCCCCATTTCTCCTGAACACACCCAGCCCCAGACAACTAATGATCAGCTTTCTGTCCCTCTAAATTTGCCTTTGCTGGTCATTTCTTATAAATGGCATCTATGGTAGTGGTCTTGGGCCTGACTCCTTTACTTAGCGTGATGTTTTCAAGGTTCATCCATATTATAGCATGCAACAGTAGTACTTTGTTCCTTTTTATGGCTGAATAATACTCCATTGTACGGATACACCACACCATTTATCTGTTCATCAGTTGATGGACATTGGGATTTTTCACCTTTTGGCTATTATGAATAAACTGCTACAAACATTTGGGTTTTTTTTTTTAATGTCTTTATTTTTATTTATTTATTTTTTTAAAGATTTTATTTAGTTATTTGACAGAGGGAGATACAGTGAGAGAAGGAACACAAGCAGGGGGAGCGGGAGAGGGAGAAGCAGGCTTCCCGCGGAGCAGGGAGCCTGATGCGGGGCTCGATCCCAAGACCCTGGGACCATGACCTGAGCCGAAGGCAGATGCTCAGCGACTGAGCCATCCAGGCGCACCTGCTACAAACATTTGTGTGCAAGCTTTTGTGTGGACATGTGATTCTAGTTCTCTTGGGTCTCTATTGCTGGGTCATGTGGTGTAACTCTATCTTTAACTTTTTGAGGAGCTGCCAGGTTGTTTTCCAAAATGGTAGTAACATTTACATTTCCACCAGCAGCGTGTATGAGGGTTCCAGTCTCTCCACATCCTCCCCAACGCTTGTTTTTCTCTTAGTGGGTGTGAAGTGGTATCTCATTGTGTCTCTAATTTGCATTTCCATGACTGACTAATGATGTTGAGCATCTTTTCATGTTCTTGTTGGCCATTTGGAGATCTTTGCTGGAGAAACGTCTGTTCAAATCCTTTGCTCATTTAAAAAATTGGCCTGTCTTGGGCGCCTGGGTGGCTCAGTTGGTTAAGCGACTGCCTTCGGCTCAGGTCATGATCCTGGAGTCCCTGGATCGAGTCCCACGTCGGGCTCCCTGCTCTGCAGGGAGTCTGCTCCTCCCTCTGACCCTCCCCCCATCATGTGCTCTCTTTCTCTCTCATTCTCTCTGTCTCAAATAAATAAATAAAATCTTTAAAAAAAAAAAATTGGCCTGTCTTTTTGTTGTTGCTGTGAGTTCTTTATGATTCTGGATTTAAGTCTCTCACCAGGTACAGGATCTGCAGTATTTTCCCCCATTCCATGGTTGTTGTTTCACTTTCTGGTTGGTGTCATTTGCACCGAAGTCCTGCATTTTGATTAAACCCAGCTCAGCAGTCTTCTTTGAGTGTGTCACAGACAAGGTGAAATCCCTGCCTGGGTGGTTCCAACTCTAGTTTAACTTGAAGGACATAGAGCCTTTTCTCTGCTTTTTGTGCCTGAGACTGGCTGGTATGCATATGCCCGTCATAACTTATGATGTTGAGGTTCCCATCGGTCACTGGCTGCTGGTGTGAGAAAATGTGGGTGTTGGTGTCATGAGTGAGAAGTGTCAAGCTGTTGCTTAAAATCTAGAAGATGTAACGTGTGGCCTTGACTGGCTGGCTGCCTGCCTCTAGACTGGTGGTATCTTCCGTGTGCGCTGAACCCTCTTGCAGGCCCTTGCTGTGCCCGGCAGGGTCTCAGGGAGCTGTGTTGTCTCCTGCCTGGGAAGGATGGTGCCAGGCCTGGGGAACAGTGATTTTGTCTTGGCGCAGGCTCTGGAGGTGACTGGGGCTAATGTTTGTTTCTTTATCTTCTTTTCTTGCTCCTCAGACTGGATAATACCAATTGCCCTGTCTTCAAGTTCACTGATTCTTTCTTCCACTTGCTCAAATCTGCTGTTGTACAGCTCGCTCAAAGTTTTCATGTCTGTTACTGTGTTTTTCAGTTTCAGAAGTTCTGTATGGTCTCTTTTTTTTTATTGACATTCCGTGTTTGTTCGGATATTGTTTTCTTGGTTTCCTTTAGCTCTTTGAGCATATCTTAGAGAGTTGATTTAAAGTCTTTGATTTTAGTACAATGTCTGGGCTTCCTCTGGGACAATTTCTCTGCTTTTCTTTTTTTCCTTTGAAATATATGTATACTTTACTGTTTCTTTGTATGCTTTGTAGTTTTTTGTTGGAAACTGACATTTTGAATACTATAATGTGATAACTCTGGAAATCAGGTTTTCACCCGCCCCCAGGGGTTTGCTCTTGTTGCTTATTGAAGGTGATCGTTGTCCATTAAGTGACTTCTTCCAGTCTGTTTGCAACGACTGTATTCCTTGTTGTGTCTGGTCACTCAAGTCTTGGTTCCATTACATTTGCAGACAGCCAGTGACCTAACAGATTTCATTAAGTGCTGAAATTTTGTAGGTTCGTTCTTCACTAAGCACTCTCCTGGTTTCTGTAAGTTTTTGATGAGATTTCAGAGTTCTGAACAAGTTGAGTCTGTCAGTTTTGCTGGCTTAATAGTTATTTTGGTGGAGGGACCGATCTGTGGAGTTCCCTACTTTGCCATATTCTGTGACATTATCCAAAAACGAGCATTTGACTAGTGTTCCAGCATTAGTCTGGGTCCTCTGAGCAGAAACAGATGCTGAGACAGGATTAAATGTGCAGAGATTTTATTAGAGAAGTGCCCAAGAGAGAAAACAGGAAGGCTGGCAGAGTCACTTTCTGGCCTGGGTGCTGTGGGGTGGGGGTAGGGCTGGGGTCCTCAAGCCAAAGTCAGCCACAGAGGCGGTCCTGTGTCCCCCATGGGGCCCGGAGTCTACCTGCTTTGGTGGATGGGGCCTGGCTGTGACTGCAGCTCAGTGGTTGAAGAGGGCCGACCTCTCCTGACCTTGTCACTCCCCACAGGCCTGTGTACCTCAGTTCCCAAGGGAGCAGCTGGGCCCTGGGAAGGGTTGCTTTCTCCAGTGTTCCTGACACAGTCCTGGCACCTTCCTGTTCTGAGGACCACATGCCTCACCGATTTTTAACCTTTGTGCATTTTCAACTGTTGGACACTCCAGTCTGTAAGAAAAGTGAATCAGGGATGCCCGGATGGCTCAGTCGGAAGAATGTGCAGCTCTTGATCTCGGGGTTGTGAGTTTGAGCCTCACATTGGGTATAGGGATTGCTTAAAAATAAATAAAAAATTAAAAAAAAAAAAGTGAAGTGAATACCATGAGACCTCTTTGACTTAGTATGTGAAGTAGTTGTTCTGCCCTTCTGAATTAAAGTGCTCTTCTCCTTGATGAATATGTGTGTGCTTCATTTCACACCCACACATGCCCTCTTTCCCCATGGAGTGTGGCGTTGTGGTGAAGGTTAGAGCTGGTGGTGGGGGCAGACTGCCAGGGGCTGCTGGGAAGGCTCTTCAGAAGGGTTGTTGTCAGCATTTTGTTTTCCTCTTCAGTACGAATTCAAGGACCTCTTTAGCTTTATTGAGATACAGTTCACCTAACATGCAGTTTACCTATATAAGATATGTGATTTAATGGTTTTGGTGTATTATTTTTAAAGAACATTATAGAACGTAAGTAACATAAACATTTGCCTTGCTGACAGTTTTTAAGCGTACAATTCAGTGGTATCAACCACATTTACAGTTTGTACAACCATTATCACTGTTTCTGAGAACTTTTCATCGTCCTGAACAGAAACCGCGTCCCCATTAAGCTCCCCTCTCCCCTCCCCTGCAGTACCTGATAACACGCCTCTGTCGGCCTCTGTGAATTTGCCTGTTGTAGGTGCTTCGCACAGGTGGATCTGTACAAGGTTTGTCCTTTTGTGTCTGGCTTATTTCACTGAGCAAGAGGTCTTCAGGGTTAATTCATGCCGTAGCACATGTCAGAACGTTATTCCTTTGTATGGCTGATTAATATTCCATCGTGTGGATAGTCCACATTTTATCTGTCTGTTCATCTGTCAGTGGATGCTTGTGTTCCTTTCATCTTTTGACTTGTGAATAATGTTGCCCTGAATATTGGTGTACACATACCTGTTTGAGTTTTTGTTTTTACTTCTTTGGCGTGTATACTTAGACGTGGAATTGCTGGGTCATAGGGAAATAACTCTATATTTAACTTTTTGAGGGTTTATTGCTTTTTATATGTAAAGGTTAAAAACTAAGAGCTCATAAGTTGGGTCACAAGTAAATACAGAAAGGTGGTATAGTTAAAAAATCAGCAAGACTGTTTTTTTGTTACAAAGATCTAGGACTCCATGTACTTTATAAATTATAATTATTATTATTTAGAGAGACAGGAGAGAGAGCGTGGGGTGAGGGAGGGGCAGAGGGGGAGGGAGAGAGAGAATCTCAAGCAGACTCCCCGCTGAGTGTGGAGCCTGACACGGGGCTCAGACTCATGACCCTGAGATCATGACCTGAGCCAAAATCAAGGGTCTGATGCTTAACCAACTGAGCCACCCAGGCACCCTCTATTGTGCTTTTAGAGACAGATCTGAAGGGCCTGCCGGCGTCTCCGTGGCTGTGTCTGTGATGTGTGAGCTCTGGGGGAGTTCAGTGAGGAGGGGTCAGTCGTGGTGCTGCTCCACAGTGGAAATCTGCAAGTAGTAATGCCCTCTGCCTTCCCCGAGAACTCTGAGGTGTGCGTCTCCTCTCATGATGCAGGGTTGCAGGAGGGCTGGACCATCGTTAACGGTCCCTGGTTCCTCTTCTTATCACTTAGGATGATGCATGACACTTTTGGGTGAGCTATAAAACAGTGGTCTCCGAATCTTTGCGCCCTTGACACGGAAGGTCTGTGTTGTTGTGTGTAAAGCACAAGGCGAGAGCCTGTCTGTAGGGTGCCCTCTGATGTATGGTTTTGCTTCCTGCAGGATGGTTGACTTGCGGGAAAGCAGGGGTATCCTATTTTTGTTCTTTGTCAAAACATTTTGGTGTACGAAAATGTTTGGCATGCTAGTGAAGGAAGTGCGCGTGTTCCTCGGGTTTGTGTTGTAACCCTGGATGTTTTGGGTTAACGGCGTGTGGTTGTCTGAAGGCACGGCTTAGCACTGCATGGCTGTGCCCACTGGCCCTTTGTCACCTCAGGTGACGTGTCGGAGGACAGGGGCCCTCTGGAGAAGTGGGAGGAGGGGGTCCTGTGAAGGCCTGGGGGTGGGCCATCAGGAGGCAGTTGTAGGAACTGAGACCTGGGGAGCCCCAGGTGGGTGCGTGTGCCGGACTTGGTGGCTCGCTCACACATGCACGGCAGGTGCTCTCTGTTTCACTGCTGCCTCACCTTGCTCCCTTTCTCGTCGCCTTTGTTTGCTGTGGCAGACTAAAGCATCACACAGAGTTCATGTATTCTTAAAGTCACCTATGAGTTTATTGGAAAATTAGCGATATGTACATCATTTTAGAAAGTGGAAAGTGCGGCTGAATGAGTCAGGAAGTTCACCGTAGCCTCATGAGGAAGTGGAAGACACTAGCTACTGCTGCACCAGCAATGTGTTTTCTCTACTGGAGATAAATCAGAAGTAGCCTCTTGGTGTTGTGTGTTATTCACTCGTAACAAATCACATCGTTTTTACATAGGGCACTTTAATGACAGTGCTGGAAATGTTTTCTCCTGGCGTTTTTTTCAGTAATTGTTATTTACTTGAAAACACACAGTAGATTTGATAGCAGAACAGTTAAAGCAGTTTGTTTTAGTGCTAAGGTATTTATAAGAAAAGTATTTTTAAAAGCTTTCCTATAAGATGGCATACACCTAAAAGGTGTCTTTTAGTCTATGTATTCAGTGTGACATTTTACAAAAACAAAAGGCAGTGTTTAACCCCTCAGTTTTAAGAGTATGAGTCATTTAAATATTTTTACAACCAAAAGTAGAAGCACCTTTGAATATTCATGTTTGATATTTACAGAAACTGAACTGAAATTGCAGCTTCTTTTTCTTTCTTTCTTTTTTTTTTTTTTGAGAAGAAAAAGAAACTACATTGAAAAAGCGAAGGCGCCAGTGAAGATTTGCTGAACCTACTTTGGAAGGTGTGTCTGCAACCTGCGAGAGCCGGGCACTAGGACACCCGTGTTCTTTTCCGAAGAGTGAACACTCTGGCTGTGTCACTCTGCTTCGTCTTCTTAGTTCCTTGCTGGGACTTCCCTGCATCCCTTGGACTTGTCCTCTTTTGCCCTCTGGGTCTGAGGTCACATTGAGCCTCCTGGCTTTCCGTGGCACTGAGAGTGGGTGCATCATGTTGGCAGGTGGACTTCGGGGCCATGGGCTCCCCATCGCCCACCCGGACGTTCCCCGGGCTGTAGGCTGCCAGTTGGCAGAGGGCCACAGCCGCCGTCTGCTTCTGCTCATCGCTGCTGTCCACCGCTCTCATGTCCCGGGCCTTCACGGTATGGGTTGTTGATGGCACCTCACCAGTGTCAAGGCCATTTTGGTTTGTCTGAGTGTGGTCTGGCCCATCTTCGGAACTTTCCATCTCAGTGTTCTGAGCAGCTGTGGTGGCAGGTCCTGCCTCTTGCAGTGGGTTGTGGAAGGAGGGTCTCGGAGTCAGGGCATTGCAGGGGTCTTTCACCGAGAGATTAAGAGGCATGTCCTGCAGCTCTGCAAAGTCCTTGTACACAGGGCTGTGCGTGGCTGGTTTAACCTCAGGTTTCTTGGAGAGGTTCAGCGGAGCTGTCCTGGAGCCATCCTCTGGGCGGGAAGGGGTGGCCTCTGTGCCATGAGAGGCACTTCCTGTCTCAGCTGGAGCATCTCTGTTCATGGCGTCAAGACTGAAAGAGGGAAAGAGGCCTTAGTAGGAACCTTGCTTAGAAAAGCTACTGTCTAAGGCATTTTGAGCATGTATGAGCTTGGCTAATTGAGCACAACCAGACACATGCTTTGGAGATTTGAAAATGAAATTTCTTACCTTTTTGGAGACTCGTCTCTGTTTTCCAGAGCTTGGGAATGTGGGCACTCGGTGCTTTTCTTGACAGGCTTGAAGGCTGTCGGGCTGTGTTCGGGCTGATGGAGCCTTCCCAGGGAGATGGAGGCTGGCTTGTCTGAGAGGCCGCACAGCCCGGCACATGGCTGACTTGTCTGTGTGAAGTTGGTGGGACTCGGCCTTCCTGGGGAGCCTGTGGCTGCGCTGCCTGCTCGAGGGCTCATTTTGGTTCCCTCTGTGTCCCTCTGCTCATCTTTGGAGGAATCTTTAGCATCGGGAGTTGGGCTCTCCTTCTCAAACTCGGTGTGTTTTTTGTGGGTGCTGGAAGGACTTGACTTGGACGGACTCAAGGCCGGGTAGAGCAGGGCAGCTTCTTCCAGTAGGTGGGAGCTTTGATCTCTGGAAATACCCGAGACGGGTGGGAGTCTGAGACCGTAGGAGGAGAACGCAGACTCTGGTCTGTAAAACCCATAAGGGATTGGCAGGTTGGAATGGTACTGCTGAAAGAACCTGTAATGGTCATATGCCGAGGGGGGGTTCAGGTGCTTCGGGACTGGCCCCGGGGGAGGCAGCAAGTGCCTGTGGTCTTGGGCCCCGTAGACGGACAGCAGGGGGGCATCACACTCGGGTGAGTTCCCAGAAAGCAGGTAGGGTGAGTAGATAGTGGCCAGTCCATGCTCTGTGTAAAAGTGCGGCGAGTACTCTGGGATCGCAGGGTGCACATAAGGGGAAATAGCACTAAACCCCTTTGTAGAAGGGATTTTGTGTGGGAACTCAGGCGGGAGGAAAGGCGAGCCAGCTTTCCATGGGTAGCTGGGAGCATGGAATGCAGACTTGGTGTGGAAGGAGGGGGCTTTGGCTGTGGGGTTGGGCAGTGCCAGCCCTTCGGGAGCCTCAGCGTGTTCTGGCCCTTTCAGTCTGTGCTCTCCCACCGGGACAAATGCCGAGGGCCGCACAATGCCTTCCAGAATGGGCTGGGTGCCCCTGCTGGCTTCTGAAGCTGGACTCAGGGGTGCTGCTTCCTCGTGGAGAGCAGGCTTCTGTCCTGAGCACCTGTGGGGCCCACGTGCCTGCAGTTCCACGTTTTCCTTTGCGTCGTCCTTGGCAAGGCTTTGCTGGAGCTTGGCATCAAAGTGTGGGAGCCCGTTTGCGACAGGCTTGGCGGAGGTGGGCTTTGCTGCGGCATCTGGCTGATTGGTTTGCTTAGGGTCCAGAGAGTTGGATTTGGGGCACTTAGGGACGCGGTCCTGCTCTGACACTAAAGTGATGGAGTTTTTGCAGAGACCGTACTTCATGTGGTTGAAAAGGTGTGACTTTTCATTGCAAGTGAAAGGACACTGGAAACATTTATACTTAAAGGGCTTTCCTGGAGGCCTTGGGATGTAATGCGGCTTTTTTGGTTTTCGCTCTTTGAGAAGACTCATGTTCTCTCTTGTGGTGTAGGCGCTGGTGTTCTCGCTGGTCCAATCCCTGCTGGCTCCTGTCTAATTATGATCTGGCGGTTGCTGCTTCTCCTTTGCTTCCTTTCCAGGTGCTTCTATTTGCAGACAGCTCCACGTGTTGTGGGTCTGACAGGGGAAGTCTTGCTCATTGGGGCTTGTGCTGCAACAGAGGAGCAGAGCCTTAGGGTCAGGACACTAGCCTGTTGGGTGGAGAAGGAGTTAGCCCGGCTTCGTAACAGATCACCTGCAGGTACGGAGGGGTCACTATCCTCGTCAGTGTGAGGATGAGATGAACACCAGCTGCTCCCTACTTGTAACCTGGCCGCCAGCCCCCACGATGTTCCTGTTTCCTTAAGTCTGGCCTGAAAGCGTTGTCCTGGGGCCAAGAAGAGTAGGGTGTGCTAGCGTCAGCTCTGAGAACACCTGCAGTTCTTTGAGCTTTGGGAATCTTTGCCCTGTGACCTGAGGCCTCTGATGCCGGGAAGGTTGTAGACTGAGGCCAAGGGACTGTTGGGACCTCCTCCCCCCCACCCATGTCCATGGAGTCTGTGGTGCTGGTCTGACTGCGCTGACCATGACTACGGGAACCTGGTCTGAGTGTGACCCGGAGTCAGTGCTCCTTGACTGTCCTGTCCTGTTTAATCAGGTTGTGTTCTACCTGTTGGTACCTAGAAAAGAATATTTAAATATGCAGTCCCACCTTACTGCTTCCAAAATCAAATGAAAAGTCAGCTTTACCTGTAAGTAGCATTTATGCTGTCTCAAATACAAATATATAAGTGCTGTGTTTATGTTGACTCAGATGGTTTTGAGATGCTATCAAGGTGAGTTTCTGAGCCCTGTGAGGGACCGAACATGCTCCTTCGCTGCCGTGTTTCCACTGCCCACCTCATGAGCACTGTGGAATAAGTTCTTGCGCTCACCCCATGCCTGCCCGGCCAGCAAACACAGATGCGTGTGGACCGCTGAGAGCATGTCTGGCCCAGGGCATCTGCCTGCCTTTCCTGACCTTACCTCCAAATGGTGGTGCCTGTTTGAGAGATGGTTGGATTGTGGTAGGACACTATCCTAGCCTTACCCTTTAGGAAGTGGGCCGGGGGCCGTCCTTGGCAATGTCCTAGGCTGCAGGTGTCTCTGGCCTTCTATACCTTCCCCCAGGGCCCTCCTCTCCCTGATCCTGCCCACTCCCAGGCTTAACCAGAGGTCTCAGCCTGGTTTCCTTCAGAGGCTGTTCCGCACACCCCTGGGGCACTCTCTCTGCCTCATAACCCGAAACTGAGAACAAAGACATGAGGCCTGGGAGGATCTCGCATGGCCCAGCGGCGTGGCTGGGTGCCCTGGACCAGCCCATGGAGTGACTGTGTCTAGGAGCAAGCGTGTGGGTGGGGAGGCTGGAGGGCAAGGGGAAGCGTCAGGGCCCGCTCTTTCACTCAAGAGCTTCAGCTTCTAAATGTTTTCAAACAGCTTAAAAATAAAGTTAAAAGGAAATGATTTAACAAAACTGTTTTCAGATGTAGTTTTGCTTTAAGGACTGGGCAAATGAGGTCGGTCCTGAGCCTCGTGGGATTTCATGGATAAAGCATCACCTTCTAGACCTTGGGCAGTTAGAACGTTCATCTGGAAAACAGCCTTTTAAAAATAGAGAAATACATATGGGAAATTGAAGAGACTTGTTTTCACAAAATAAAAGTTAGTTTCTCTGAAATGCCTTTCCTTGCCATCCCACACACTGCGATGAGATCATCGATGGGGGCAGGAGGGGGTGGAAGCAGGTGGAGTTTGGGATTTCACTTGGATACCTTACATTTCTGAGAAAGCTCTCTGATTTTATTCTCAGCAAACTGGTTTCTCTACTCATTTATTCATATTCCTTAAAGACACAAAAAAGCACTCCCCCTGCCCCAGCTGACAAACTGCTGTATTATCATCCATTGTTTCCAAAGATGGATATTTACAAGAAGTGGTTTCTGCCCGTGTCTGTGGCCCTTCTGTTGTGAGGAGTTTCTGCAGAGCAGTAGTGGTGAGGCCTGTATTTTGGGTGAGAAACGAGACTTTTGGCTGCCCTATGACCGTGACTGGAGGGGGGTGTGTCGCAGAGCCCTGGGCGGGGGGTGGGGGTGGGGGGTGGGGGCGGTTCATTGGTTCACCCTGCCCCTGACCTCCTCTCCCACCCACTGCGTGGCTGCAGGGGCTGCAAGGCGGTGTCAGAACCCAGCATGTTCAACATGTAAGCATAGCTTTGCGTCTTTCTAAACTTCCCCTCTTATTAAAGGGAAAAATGTGAAATAACTCTTGGCGAGTTCAGCCCATACCTTGGGGGGTAGGTATGCTCTGGGCTACAAAAGCACAATTTCCTTGCCGCCCGTCGGGAGGCGATTCCAGCCAACCCGGGCCAGCTAGATAAGTCAGCGGGCGTGTGCCGGCACGTCTCACCATGCTCCCTGGTTCTGAAGGCGTGAGAACCTCTGCAAGTCAGGTTCCCATGATAGTATAGGATATGTTATGGCAAAGATCCGAAAGGTGATTTCATCACTAGCTGGAAGCATCATGATCAGAATGATGACAGTTGCAAAACTTTATCAAGTGTGAACCCAGAGTCCAGCGATACCGAGAGTGGACACGGATAGACCACCACCAGCATCCAGAGCCCTGGAGCGCAGATGAGTGAAAAATCCCCTCAGGACTTAGGAGAATGGTTCCGATGCGCTAAATAACGATGTGTTAGTTTTAGAAGCAGTTTTCTTCAGCGCTGCTGCTACTTTTAGGCAAACACATAAATAAACCTATGTTAAATTGATCAAACATTTATAGGAGGCAAGTTATATTTATCTTAGTGTCACCTAGAAGAATAATTTGGGTAATAATTGGTTTTATGTTAATATATACTTTTTTCAGTCAAGTGATGTTGTGTGTAAAAGTCTGGTCTGAATTTTTGTTCTTTGTTCAGTTAGCATACAAGGACAGTTAAATAGGTTCTCTGGGGATCATGCCGGTGCCCTAGGAGGTGAGAGTATCCCAGGGCTGACCTGTGGGAAGGGAAGCCTGCGCTGGGCTCACAGGGGCAGTAGTGTTAGTAACTATGGGTAAACTGACCTCTCAGGGTTGCACAATTCACTAATTAAAACAAGGGAGCACAGCTGCTTCAGATGCCGATGGAGACGGGCGTATTCACTCGGTCATAAAAAGGCAGTAATGTCAGAGACATAAGTGGGATAAAATGGAAGCTATGGTAAGCTTTCGAAGGGAACAGCCTATGTAGCATGATGTCAGTCTGCGAGTTCTCCTGTGAGGTTTACCAGGGCGAAGGAACTCGACCTGACTGCCCGGGACCTTATCAGTCTCGCCCTCTTTAGGGACGTGGTTTGTGACAGTCTCTGCCAGGCCAGTTTGTATCCGCTGGGCTTGGTGCTTGCTGGCAGCTGCTGGTGTTAAATATTCCCCCAAAAGGGTATTGTTGCCAAAACAACACAATCGAGAACTTTAACTGTTTGTAATAGGTTTGGATTTGCATTGAGAGGTGAGGTTTTTCTAAAGGTGCTGAGAGGTGTTTCACATAGCCTTTTCCTGGAGACGGCATGTGTCTTTCTTAGTTAATCTGTATCTGGAGAGCTGCTAATAATGCAGGACCCCTTTGATTTGGCTTTTGTTAGAGAACTGCAGTGTTAGCACGTTTTAAAGTTCAGATGTTAGCTTGGTCCTCCAAGGAGGTTTGTGTGTCACAATGTTGTTTACTCTTGATCAGCAGGAAGTGCTGGGAGCTGCTCCTCACGCACCTTCCCTCCCTCCCCGTCAGGGTCAGAGTGGCTGTCACTGAAATGCGGGGTCGCGTCTGTCCTCTGCCTGCCTCTGCGAATCCTTCTCGGGAGTCCTGTCAGGCTAAGCGGCCCGTGTACACAGCGTCCACACCGAAGGGGAGAGACCTTGGGGGTGGTGACTTAAAGCCACACACAGGGCCCTGTGTGAACTTCCAGAGGTTTTCCTATCTTATTTAAAGATGCCCCTTTTGTGACATCAAGCATTTTAAACATCTGCTTGTATTGAACTGATGTACTTTTTTGCCTTAGAAAGTGCCGGGAGCTGGCCCTGGCTGCCGCATTTCTCCTCCTGCGGGGCTCCTGCTCACAGGCCCGCTGGGCGTCTGGGCATAACTGCCCACATAGCACTTTGAGCAACCTGTGGTTTCGGTTGGCCACAGGGTTTTGTTTGCTTGTTTTTGAAGTTCTAAATTGCCAATGCACTATCTTTCGATAGGTTCCTAAGTGTGGACAATTAATGTCGTTGCCAGTTGTTAAGATAAGAATAATAGTGGCTGGCATGGGGTTTAAAAAGTTTCTAAGGAGTTTGAAATCCAAAAAACAGACAAGAGAAAAAGATTTTTTTTGTAACTTTGATAGGACACAATAGAGGTAATTATAGCTTAGCTTTATAGGACACTGCTGTGACGGGCTGGCTAAGTATGCTCGTCATGCGTGTTACCTATGAACTGAACTAATGCTGTAATGGTCCCTTCGGTGCTGTCCGGCTGTCTGGCAGGGAGCCTCGTTCGTCAGGTAGAGCGTTTTGAAGGGCATGCTATAATTACAATATTGTGATGTGGCGTTATTGCATAACCCAAGGACACGCCATTGTCGCCTACCCACTGGGGTGTCGCAAGAACGAGATTTGTGAGTTTTACTCCAATTGAGCTTTTCCAGTGATTAACCGCCACTCCCTCCCAGACTCTTGGTTCTTTAAAATGAAGAATAAACTTCAGGACAACCATGACCTAGGGAGAAAGACAGTTTTCTAGAAGGGAGTTTAGAAGAATGGAGCTGGAAAAACAAGCAGGGCTCTTTCTAGTTTCAGCCAGAGATCCCAAGTTACAGACGTACGCTCTCACTAGTAAATGTATGCAGCTTCAGCGTTTGACAGTCTGTTCACCAGAGCCGGCCCCCCTCGGCATACCTGCCTCGTTTATCCCGAACAATACCAGTTTGAGACAT